GAGCTACAGCCTGGTGTTTTACCTTTTCGCTGGGTTTGCCTACATGAGCGGTAAAGCCACCATCTGCTATTACTTTATCACAGTGCCTGACCTTTTGCAGGAGGACTGAAAGCCTATAGTCGAACGAATCTTCCGCTGTGTCTCAAATTCATTCCGTGTGAGGGTAGGCAGATAAGACGAAGTCCGTACGGTCCAGTTCAGTCGAACATCGCCTAGACTGTTTGATTGTTTTGGGCGAAAATTTGAATGTACTAAAGCTGTCATCAAGAAAATACAAATATTTATTACCAGTTGCATAAATCGAATCCTGCAGAGTCATTGATCAGACAATATCCGCGACAATGAATATGTAAAGATATCAATGTTACATATGAGATTTCTTTATCTATAGATTTATAAAGCAAGCAATGAAAATAATTTTCAATGTAATTTCATAGTGTCAAAATCATAAGGATGACAATTTATTATATGTCAACAAAAAATATAGTTACAACAAAGACAGTCATTGGTATCAGGCAACTAAATGACGCTTATTGATAATAGACATGTAAGTAAAAAACCATGTACGAATTCTTTAGCTCTACTCAAGCCGTACAAAAACTGTAGACTTCAACATTTTCTTATCACATTTCAATGACCTAATGGATGAAGATGCGTGCACAAATCTCACCTGACGTCGAACCGTTTCACAGATGGAGTCTGAAAAGAATAATATGATTTTACACATAGAAAAGTTTGCTCAAAAATACGTCAGTTGAGGCTCGTTTTCATCTAACGAATCAAAATACCTTGAATTGTGGATGTAATGTGAGTGTTAAATAGTGTCACATGGTGAGAGACTTATGTGCAGCTCTTCGACGAACTACTCAATGAATACGATTCTTTGTAGGCAAACATTTTCGTAGAAAGTTTTGTTTTGTTTTCAAAAAAATTCAGCCATAAAAATGTTATACTGTGACGCAAATTCAACAGTCACTATTAGAAAAAATAATGGAATATATTTCAGAAGATAGAAAATAAAGCAAATATACAATAGTACAATAACAAAGGCAGTGACTGACGACAAAAAAATCAGCACACTCAAAAAAATGAATTAGACAACAAAATCACGATCTTAACGAATGTTGATTTTATTAGGTCAACTATTTTCTCAACAACACTCTTTCAATGGCATGATCAGCTATTTTATATGAAGATATTTGAAAATGTGTAGGCGTTTTTTTCAGTGATTTCAAATTTTTATAAAATTGTTCAAATATGAGGCCTTGTTTATGAAATAATGAATAAGAGATTTTCTCTCAGTTCAGATTAGTGCTTTTACAGTGCTTGTCAGAATATTCCATATGAAGGATTGAGCTGTAATTTCCATGTTCACTTAAATTCATTTTTGATTGCGGTCTGTTTCGTCACAACATCGAAATTCAGTCGATTCGTTTTATTACCATTTCTTTGAGATGACTCTTTGTCAAAAGCGTTTTATGTTCCCATGATTCCGGAAGTGTAGACAATCGTTCAGTTTATGTGAATAAGACAATATTTTTCGTGTCATGGGTACATAATATAACCGGACGAATGTTCGGAAGAATGCATCATTTCAACTATATTTTCGCAGACGAAATCGAAATGTTCTCCATTCGTAAAATCGCTGCAAAACTGTGTCATAATGGTTTCTCCTTTTCTTTGTCAGCACATTCAGATTTTCAGAATATTTCTGAAGCTTTTTGATAGCCACAACGTATGACGTGAATAACAGCGTTTGTTACATCATCCGAAATATTTCCTTGTTGAAAGTAGGAAGACGTAAACCATGGAGAAAATCCTGTAGTTCGTTTTGTCAGTCATCTAATTTCACCGTAATCTGTTGCTCGAGTTATGATATTCTCTGTATACAGTTAGTCTTATGGTAGAAAAGAATCCGTATTGTTTTAATTGATTTCGAAATGTCCGGTCGACTATTCTTGTGTTCAGCAACTGTAAAGTTCTGAGTCCTATTTGAAGCTCTCTCATGTCCACACGATCTGACTTACAAGCATTTTGAGAATGCCTAAAGTTTTTACATATACACAGATAGCTTATAAATTCCTAAACAAAAATTGTCGACTTGCTGTGGAATAATAAATTGCCAAAAGTTAACAATATACTATTGCTTTCGGTTTCACTGATGCACTTAACTTAGTCAGGCATTATCAAATTCGAAGGACTGAATGACTGAACCTAAATTAGGCTTATGTTAGAAATCGTATACGGTTAGGGTCGATTTTTACGATGACTTGCTTATTTCTTTTAGATGTGCCATGTACATCAATTGCGACACGTTCGCAATTCATGAATTCCCTAAGCCCTACTATGCAATGTAATCAATGATAGTTAAACGTTCTATTCCGAATGTTCGGAGCATGAAAGCATTTACTTACTTACTTACTTACTTACTTACGCCTGTTACCCCCAATGGAGCATACGCCGCCCTATCAGTTTTCTCCTGGGTTTCCCTCTCCAATGCTGCACAATGTTTGTTCATTCTTCTCATATCTTTCTCTATTTCTCGGGGTAATGTGCTCATTGGCCTTCCTCTTTTCCTTTTGCCTTGAGGGTTCCATATAAGGGCTTGTCTCGTGACGCAGTTAGGTGCTTTTCGGGGTGTATGTCCTATCCACTTCCACCGCTTCTTCCTGATTTTCAATAACGTCAATTTGTAGCAGTGATTTTATTTCATTGATATCGATTCTTCTGAACCTAGATGAAAAATTTATCTGAGTTCAATAAAATTCTAGAAGTATGACAGTATGACAACCATATGAAGAAGAAAACCAAGTCTCCAACATAACTTTATTAAAAAGGGATACTGTCATAAATGTGCAAGATATGTGATTCTTTACAGCAAACTGGACACAGATACATGCATTGTGAGTTCCACTTATCCACTGTGAAGAAGGTCGAATGAAACGAAAAAACGGCGTTGTCTTGAGTATCCACTAAATTCATCAGTCCTGAAATGTTTTATTTCATCTGAAGCTAAATATATTCAATCAAGCGAAAAATAAAATATGTTCGCAGTGAACAGTCGCACAGTAAGTATGACACGAATTATAACAAAACCATACTGTTATCAATCAAACCTCTTAGGCGTTTAAAATAATAAATCAACTTTGTGTGGCAAGTAAATGTTTGACATGCATTCCGTTAGATTCTAGGTTCTTACTTGATTGATATATGTGCGTTACTGATACAGTGATATCGTCAACGATATTCTGTATCTTACACGTTTGACTAAAATGATGAAATGGAGGATCGATCATTTTCATATGTGTTTAAGCACAAAATCGTGCAATTCTAGAGATAATTTATATTATTTTTTGAATCCAGCACATTCAGTGAAAATAAATTTGTACTCTTTATCGTACTCGGCTATTGTCAACACAAGTTACTGAAATTTTAATGAAATGTAATACCTTTCGAAAAGGTTTCTACCTAAACTATATTCTTACTATCAATACTCCACAACAATCAGACCACTAAATCACGTTCATTAATAATGTTGATTTTATTAGGTCAACTATTTGCTCAACCACACACTTCAAAAATGTGTAGGTGTTTTTTCAACGATTTCAACTTTATATAAAATTGTTCAAATTTGAGGCCTGGTTTGTGAAATAATCAATCATAGCATTTCTCTCAGTTCATAGCAATGCTTTCACAGTGCTTGTCTGAATATTTCATGTGAAAGATTGAGCAATAATTTCAGAGTACACTTCAGTTCATTTTTCATTGCTTTCTATTTCGCTTCACAATCCTCTATACGTCGCTTCGTTGAAAAGCCTTTTTTATAATTTTGATTTTTTTAATGCTTTTTTCGGTTTTTCAGACTGATAGGTTTTATTTATTTAACTTTTGTTTTATCTGAAGCTATGTGGTTTGTATTGTACACTGAAGTTAGTTGTCATCATTAAAAATATTGATTGTCTAATTAATGGGATTATAAATCTTGATTTATATTTCTCGATATGTTACTGAACTTAGCAGATGTGCAAGTAGATTTTACGGTTAACATATATGGTTGCAAAACAAAAATTGGTTTTACCTAAGTCAAACATGATGTAAGAAAGTTGTCAAAATAAAAAAAATGGTTATTAGAGTAAACGTAAACGCAATCACACGAAAAGTTTGTTAAAACTGATGAAAAGCATTTAAGAATTGTACAACAATCTGTCCTGCTTTTAAAATCATATTTGGATTCTGTCGAGTTGATCACTTTACTCTTCGTTTCCCATTCATCTTGATCCCCGAAGCTCATATTCATCTGCTCGCTTGGAACACAAAGTTTCACCAATGCATCTGAGTCCTTCGCTGATGCTGATGCTATCCATTAGTTACTCTGACGTGAGATACAGTAAAGAAGTAATCTGTTAGACTGATAAAAGATAAACTTCCAGTTTCATATCTAAAGTCGTTCTTGAATCAACAGTAGTTTCCTTTAGCACTGTTACGATTTATCTCTTCATTTACAACTTACTAAGTAGAACTCAACTGCATAACACTTTTCTTTTGCCGCAATTTGTCAAAACTGTTCAGCCTGTTAGACGAACGATCTGCCTCATGTAATCCACAATCCTAATGCCAATATATTCACTTTATCCTGGTTTACGAGCTTAGACGCCGTCTATGAACAGGCTTCAAAAAAATCAACTACGACCGAGAGACATTTTAATGAGCTTTGTTCATCTAATGAAACTCATTCAGTCTGATTGGTTTATTCAGTGTGTTTGATTTGTGCATAATCGATTCACGATTCATGAATATATTTTTCAATGATGTCAGGTAGACACACATGAAAGCTCAGTAGATAACAATTCGAAATGAAATCACTATAATATGTGTCCAGATTAAACTGAACACTATTCATTGTATACTTAGTTTCATATTACTTCATTACTGACCAATCAACGGTATTTTCTTCCCATATATAAACGCTAGCAAACAGAAATAATTTAATTTCTGTGAAAATGATGTATTCATTACTGTTTTTCTCTACAAACCTGCTTCTTCTAATCATTTCTGCATCCGAAGTAGACGGTAAGTTTTAGAATTGTGATTAAATTTGTTAAGTGAATCTGCAGCATTTTATTTTCACAGGCTAATAAGTTTAAGTATTTTTCATGCAACAGTTACAAATGTCAAATATTTTGCAATCCGATGAATTTTTATTTCATTTATCCGAAAAAATAGATATTTTTGTTCTGTCAAAAATTATTGAAATAATTAGTTTGATGATGTTTTTTTATTTGGTGAATGGGAAAGCATCTTTGCTTATAATTGAAATGATACGCTAATCTTTGCCTATTTTTCGACAGAACTATATAACGGGACTAAAAAAGTCCTGAAAGTATTTCAGGATGAGCTTATGTCGTCGAACTCTGCCAAATAGTAGAGATGATCATTTTGACGAAATCCAATAACTGCATGGTGTGCCGTATCTGCAAAAATTTTGTTAATCTTCAGAGAAACTTCCTTATATGTTATGTTCCTATTTAGAAATTAGCATCCTTGTAAACAGAATGGCATTTATTTGTATTCTTTATGAAGTTTCATAATTACAATCATAATAATGTTGCACAGATGAAAATTCTGTAAACATTGTCTGTTCCGAAACTTAACCAATAATGAAACAAAAACTGTTCATCAGACGACTTAGTTTTCAGTGAATCTACTGTCAAGGTATAACCTTACATTATTTGTGTGATATAAAATAGTTCCTCTACACTGAAAGTAGATATTATTTATAGATTTTAGCGGGTGATTTATCCAAATAGATGATTTACCAGTTACAGATAACTATTCTCTCTTTCTATTTACTTTCTTTTAGACTTGAAATCGAATCAGATTAAAACATTAATAACTGACATGAAGCTTGTCAAAGGTATGTTGACATTCGCAAAGTCAATTGGACCCTATTGCTGCTTTTATTACCTTGATCTTTGTTTCGATCAATTCGATACCGCCTTGTAGTCAGTAGAGATTTATATTATTTATGACAATTTTATTCGGAAAAACATACCTGTATTGAGAGGAATTAAATGGCAGTTTTCTCGATGAATGAAATTTCGATATACGTTCTTAAATACCTAAAGCAGCGTTTCCATATGTTCTATATAACAGTCAATATTTCACATTATATGATACATTTAAATGAATCTTACGTAGTAAAAATAACCTCTGAATTGAATTTTTATTTTTATTACGATTTAGAAAAGAAATCTGAAATTGAACAAAAAATCAGAACACACCAAGCGAATATGCAACAGAAGAAAGGTAATTGTTCTATTCACTGATCATTTCCATGGAATCTATATGAAGCTGAAAATACAAATAATTAAACAGTAACAATAGGTCAAATCATGTGGTCTGTACCATGCCTATAATATTGTTCAGCATGTTTTCATATTGATTGAACAACGATAAAGCTGTTTCACAAGTCGTTTTGTCAACTTACCACTCGCAATTACACAGATACTGAATGAGTACTTTTCGTAAGTGTTCATATTGAGGCAAACAAAAGCATCAATACTTTAATATGTCTAATCTGAAAAGCGCCTTGCCTAATGGTGAAAAAAGCGTTCCTAAAGACTAATTAAGTCTTGACGTGGTTCGTCTTTCCGATTAGCCTCACGGTGTAGCCATGTTTCACAGATAAATTAGCAATGCTGAACACTACCAGCTTTTTATGGTTCGCGTTTTTAAGGTACGAAATTAATTTAATTTGTAAACTTGACTTTTTACTCATGTTTATGAAATGGTTTAAGATTTAAAGTAACATTGAATAAGTCGAAGCAATCAATTTCTTATCTTTCCTTCAGATGAGCTCAATAAAGAACAGCCCGAAGGAAACACAAATATTGACAAATGTATGTGTATTAATATTATTGTATCCTCATAAAACTTGTTGTTTTAGATGTGGCATGCACAGAGAAACGTGCAAACGCATATTGGACCATGGACACTTCAATTGGTTCGTAACATTAGTTTTAAATCGCCTTTCGGACCAACCTATTTCTTAATAATTTCAAAATATAACTTTTCGGTTACTAGAGTAAACAATAATAATCATCATCATGGTATTTCAATAAACACAACAGATAACGTTTTATCTAGACAATCAACATTCTCAATGTAAAATAAATACACATGGGGTTTTTATGATGAAAGATTAGGTTTCAAATAGATTTTGATTAAAGTTATCAAGATTAAATTCCTGCATCTTAAAAAAAAACTCGGCTTTTCTTCAGCGTTCACAAGGTTTCCTGAAGTTTGGAGGAACGTAACTACAGAATACAAAAGTATGTTTTTTGATGGTTCACTATAATCCGGATATGTATTTCATATATACTTTTATTTAATGAAAAGCAAATTATAGGTTATTCAAGCATCGATTATCATGTTTCTACTCTTCATGTACTTCGAAATTAATTTAATACTTTGTAGCTGATGTTCCCTACGAAACTATGCAAAGCTGTTTTGATGAACAGGATAAAGAAGTCTCAAGTAAGATTAAACAAAAATCAAGATAGCATAATATTGTTTTTATTTTCAATCATCATCCTGTATAGTGTAAATTTTATGATTTCCGAACATAATTACTGAAATCAGTCATTTACATTATAAGTTGTAAAAAAATATGTTTGGTTCATTGAAATGCCATACATTCTCTTATGAAAACTCCCTGAACACACTGAAACAAAATGAAAATTGTGATAGTGAATTTTGAAAAAGTGTTATTATTTATTATATCAAAAGGTAAAAAATATTCTGTGTCCAATTTTAGATCATGTAGAAAAAAATTATAAGCCAATAACTGTTTTCTCTTTCTCAACAGATGATTCTGAGATGTACACATATGATCGATGTATGCTAGATGCACATGCATACCCGAAAGGTAAAATTTATGTCACATATTTGAATCCAGATTGAATTACTGAATAAAAATTTATGTAAATTTATTTTTTTTGTACAATGTGTTTCAATGTCTAATGCATAAGAATTACAGAATAAATATTTTCTATAGGCCTTATTATTAGATTCATGAATGTATGTCGGCGTGCATAGATTGCTTAAATATTTTGAGCATGTACAAATATATATGTAGCTATGAAGTAGATTGCTGATAAGCCAACAATCATTGTCATTCAGATTATTCATACATATTTTCATCAAACAGGTGAAAAGAAACTAAAAGCATTTGGGCAATATATAGTTTATGTTCGCATATATATGGAAAAACACTTCTCACCTGCTACGCAATTTGTTTATCGAATTATTTTAGAGAAAATATTGGATCTAGAACGAATCATTTTTGACAAACATGAAGAAATCCAACACTATAATGATTATTTGTGTAAGTTATAATCTAGTTTGTTTCCTAGACTGAACTGTGATTTCAAGGAATTAAAATGAAGCTTAATTCAGATATTAAAGATCATCATTATTTGAAACTGTTTCTATTTACTGCTCTGCTTCAAAAATGAAATTTTCAATAAGAAGCAGAGATTAGGAAATGAGTTTCACAATGGCGTTTGATAATAAATGGAATAAATGTTATTAGGTTGTCATAGATCACTGGCTAGCATGCCATATTTTAACTTTAACGAAAGCTGATTTATTTTTTACTATTCATTGCAGATAAAAATCAGGTGCTTTTTGATATCTTCAATAAAATAAACAAGTAGATAAAGGTAAATAACTTTGCACATTTTGATGTTAAATAAGATAGCCATCGTACGCGTACACCCTTCGAACAAAAACAAATATTTAGTGCTACTGAAGTTTTTTAAGAAATAGTTTATGCATACTCACTCAATGTCAGAATGATCAGAGCAAAAACAGAAGATATTTTATTGCTTGCAGACATCAATATTATTTCGTGTTGTCATAGTTATGATAAACTATATAGAAATGGTTTGCACTGAGAAGCGCAATTTCTACAGTGTTTTTACTCATACTGATATACTAATAAGCAGTTAATTTTCAACAAATTTCTTTCAAATTTTTTTACAGACTAGAATGAAAAGTTCTGAATTTATAACTGACTGCGCCTGTGTGGTATTACGAATATTATTTTTTTTCTTTTAAATGAATATTGTGTAGTCGATATTAGAAAAAATTTACTTTGATTCAATACAAATTATTTTCAATGGCATCTCATCTCTTCTGATTGTAGTCTCATTTGGTAGTTTCAGTGTGCAGCTTTGTTGAAATAAGCTGTAAAATCGGAATCAACAGTTCATTCAACAAGTTCCACAGTGTTAGGCAAAAATCAAACACACTGATCAGTCGAATCAGACTAAATGAGTTTCATCAGGCGAACGAAGAGATAAATCGCAACAGTTCTAAGGGAAACTACTGTTGATACATGAACAACTTGAGATGTGAAACTGATTAGTGCATATTCTATGATTCTAAATGCAACGGTTTGAGCTAGTATTCGAAATCCTTAGACTTATGTGGCTTGTTTGGTTATATAATGCAGTCAAAACAATGGAATCCGGTTTGTGGAAAGTGTATCAGCAAACTGCTGTATTTACTGATTGGTCTTATTCCATTTTTTAAAAACTAAACGCTTTCGTGTGCACAACGATTCGAGAAAGATTAATCCAAGTCTACTAATACTCGTGAGGTAAAAGCCATACATCATTATTCAAGACAATGAGGTCGGCTGAAAAATCTTGGAGCGTTTCACGTCATAATCGTAAGATATATAACCGGTCCACTCAAAGTGCACGCAGTTCCTTTCATGTATAACGAAAACAGCAAATTGGGCAAACCTGTTCAATTTGAAGAAAAGCTCATATAGTTTGGAAGAATCAGATACTTATAATTAATTTGTAGTAGCAAAGCTTGAGGAAAATTTCTTCTCTTAACTAAAATATTCTGACGGATACAAAAAACATCAATTTTGTGTAGCATGCAAATGCTTCACAAGAAATTTTTTGAATTTCTCGGTCCTAACTTTGTTAACGGATGCACGTAACTGAAACAGTAATGTCGTAACTGCAGATATGATTACAGATTTAAAATGATGGATTGTTGTTTCAGACTGATTTCGTAAAATTCATACCAACCATAGACAATAACAGTTACAAATCGTTTTTGTGCTGCTATGTAGCTATTCGAAATAATAACGAGTGACTAAATTCAGATATACAAATACGACCCTAAATACGTTTCTGAATTGTTAAGTGTATCAGCGCTCAACATCGTTAGAAGAAGTTAATTATGTGGTTCGAGTACAGAATGAATAAGCAAAGAATGAATAGACTTTGCAAACAATGCATATTTATATATCCGGATAGCAAAAGAAACAACATTGTAGTCTGTGACAAAGATTGTTAAGACAAGCACATTATCGACCAGTAGGAACTGACCAATATAGCTTGACTTCTAATAATTATTTTATCCAGTAATATTTGATGAATATCCTTACACCGTTCACTGAAAGAAAATAAAAGAAAATTAACAGCGACACAGCCAATTGTTCACTTGAAATTACTTTGAGTTTTTTCAACCACCTTCGAGGTAACAAATCTGAAACTGAAGTTTATCCTTTTTGAGTTGGTGACTCAATTTTCTATGTTGGACGTATTCATAAAAGTTGAAAAGTATCCAACTGCAAACAGAGTGTGAAGTGCCTCGTAATTTCGTCTTTTTCTTTATCCTTTTTTGTCGTTAGGTGACCACGAGGTCGTCTGGCACTTCAAAACCATACATGATATCCTTAATACTATCCAGAGAGGATTTAACGCCAAAAGACTTACAATAAAGAACGAAATCAAGTGAATGACTTTGTCCGTCTATTGTACCCACAGTTTTTTATTATCGCATTCGGCCTTATCTCTTGATAAAAAGTTGTCTTGTGAATTGCCATGCCTGATACTTACTTACTTACTTACTTACTTACTTACTTACTTACTTACTTACTTACTTACTTACTTACTTACTTACTTACTTACTTACTTACTTACATACTTACTTACTTACTTACTTACGCCTGTTACTCCAATGGAGCAGAGGCCGCCCACCAGTTTTCTCCAACCAACTCTGTCCTGGGCTTCCCTCTCCAGCTCAGTCCAGTGTTTGTTCATTCCTCTAATATCTTTCTCTATTTCTCGGCGTAATGTATTCTTTGGTCTTCCTGTTTTCTTTTTCCCTTAAGGGTTTCATGTTATTGCTTGTCTCGTGACGCAGTTAGGTGCTTTCCGTAGTGTGTGTCCTGTCCACTTCCACCGCTTCAACCTGATAATAAACACTTGCATCTTCTGAATGATGGCTTGCTGCAAGTTTCCGCTCCATACAGTGGAACTGTCTTGAAATTAGTATTGAAAATCCTGATTTTGATTTTGGTTAAAGGTTGTTTAAAGTTCCAGATAATTTTCTACTGCGAGAATGCAGCCCTTGCTTCGCCAATCCGTGCCCTCACATCTGCATCGGATCCACCTTTCTCGTCGATGATACTGCACAGATATGTTGAGGTGTTAACGTCTTCCAAAGCATCTATATATCAATAGTGATTCGGTTGGTGCATTTTGTGTTGCATCGGAGAATTTTGCTTTTTCTTTTATGTATGTTGAGACCTATTGCTGCATAGGCTGCTCCTACACTGGTCGTCTTCTCTTTCATTTGTTGTTGCGTGTGCGATATAATAGCCAAGTCATCCGTGAAGTCCAGATCGTCCAGCTGCGTCCCAACTGTCTAGTTGATACCGTGCTCCCCTCCAAATGTTGACGTTTTCATAATTCAGTCGATGACCAGGAGAAAGAGAAAGTGTGAAAGTAAGCGACCCTGCCTGATACCGGTCAAAAGAGTTTGAAAGCTGTCCTTTGTGTACGATTTCGCATTTGACTCCATCATAAGAATTCGTTTTGTTGTTAACTACTTCCCCAGGCACACCGTAGTATCGAAGAAGCCTCCACAAGGTTTTCCTGTCCACACTATCGAAACCTTTCTCGAATTCGATGTAGTTGATGTAGAGTGGTGAGTTCCATTCAATTGATTGTTCCACAATGATCCGTAATGTAGCAATTTAGTTAGTACATGATCGATCCTTACGAAATGCGGCCCGTTGATCTCGACGTTGGTCGTCTACGAACTCCCTTATCTGTTTAACAATACTCTGTTGAAGACTTTGCGTGGTATTGAAAGAAGAGTGATGCCTCTGTTATTCTCACACTTGCCGAGATCACCTTTCTTTGATATTTTGATCAGGTATCCTTCTTTCCAATCTGATGGTACTTGTTCCTCATCCCAAATCTTCTTGAAGAGGATGTGAAATGTTTTCGCAGTTGCTTCTACATCTGCTTCCATCGCCTCTGCTGGAATGTTGTCTGTTCCTGCTGATTTGCCGCTCTTGATTTGTCTGATGGACATACTGACCTCCTCTATTGTAGATGCGCCAAAATAAATTGGGAGGTCCGTGGATGCTGCTTCGATGTTGGGTGCTTTCTCCGCTCTTGTTCGGCTGACATTGATTGCTGCCTTCTTGTTCCTTCTTTCTTCAATTTTTGCAAGAGTATCAACAGAGATCCATTCCTTGTGATGGTAGTTCCTGTGACCCATAATATCGTGAAATGTTGAAGCGATTGCCTCCATGACCCCTTTTCAATTGTTCTCCAATGTTGCGTCTTCTCCATTGTGTAGATCCTGAAAGGCCTGGAACCTATTGGTGAGGGCTATCCTGAATACGTTGAGCTTTACAGTATCCCGAAGAAAGGCCGTATTAAACTTGTGTGATGTTGTCTGCCCTGTTGTCCAGTGCTTCTTTAGTTTCAGTTTCATTTTGGCGATTAGCAAATGGTGATCTGAAGCTATATCAGCTCCTCTCCAGGTTCTCACATCCTCCATAGTCCTTCTGAACGTTTTGTTGATACAGATATGATCAATCTGGTTTTGAGTAGTGTGATCCGGTGATATCCATGTAGCTTTGTGCATGCGTTAGTGCGAGAATATTGTGCCACCAATGACCAGTTTGTTGAAGGCACATAGGTTTGCAAATCTCTCACCGTTTTCGTTTCTTTCTCCCAGTCCATGTCGTCCCATGATGTCTTCATTAGCAGTGTTGTCCATTCCAACCTTGGCATTCAGGTCTCCCATAAGAATCGTCAAATCCTTTGGTGAACATTTCTCGACGAATAGATCTCTACCGGCATTGTAGTCATTGTTATGTTCAAAGCATGGGATGTCTTGCATTGTAACGTTCTCTTTCTTTATTTTGAAGGATGCTGTAATGATCCTCAGTCCATGAGATTACCATCCTATCAATGCCTTTTGTGCTTGTTTGGACAGCATCAGTGCATCAGTGCACTCGCATAGG